TTCCTTGGCCACATATCAATACCTTTCTTTTCTAGTATTCTCCAAAGAACTTCTCTTGGAACCTTATCATAAGGTTTTTCTAAGTCATTAAAAATCATATATGTAGATCCTTCTTAATCTCTCTTACTTCTCCACCATACCTCTCAATAAATGTATAATTGTCATAGTGGACTGATTATGAAAAATATTTGTATCACATCTTAACATATGTTCAATTACTCTCTCCCATAATTTTACCCATAATTTTAATGTATAATAATTTTAATGTATAACATATTAACTTAATTCCTCTATAATTTGCACACTCTTGTGCATCCACTTTATTCTTAAAATTGGGAACCAAAATACTTTTCCTCCACGTTTTAGGCATCTTTTTAGTTTTTAAAAAAATATTAAAGAATTTAGTAAACCAAGGAACTCCCAAATTTGATCCTAAGTATTTCCACACTTTAATTAGGACGTCAAGTCCTACTGATTTTTCACTTGTAGTTCTCTTTAAATCCATCTCAACTTCCTTTTTATCAATGCGACTGTGGAAACAAAAAAAAAATTCTTATTAACAATATTACGATAACTAAGATCGAACTTATTTTCAAAAAGTTCATTGAATAGTGTATCAAAATATCTTGCCCACCTATCTTGAATATCGTCCTCTAAGAAAATCACTTTTTGATATTCATTTTTGATACTTTACTTGAATTATATCTTTAATTTTCTTTTCTCTTTGTTTGACTACTTTATACGTATATTCTCTTACCATTTTTAGTGTCTATTTTATTATAAAGACCACTAAAAGTACGATTCTTAAAGTCACAAACGATTTTATTAGACTCCCTATGGGCTAACTTATATTCATTTTGGAATTACTCATAAGATATTTTCCGCCATTTTTAATATCATTTATATTTATTCTTCTTACTCATATAAATTTTTTTAAAACTTATATCTAAACCTACTTGAGAAACATAAACATATATAATATTAAAAATCCTAGTATCAATAATAATCTTTTAAGGCTATAATTCTATTTCCAATTCTATTAATCTTCCTAACATTATTTTTCATGCTCTTTTCTATAATTACAGCTTCGCTATTTCTAGTGCGACTGTTGCATGAATACCGATGTTAAAACCTAAGATATCAATCTCCTAATCATTTTCCTTAACCCAATTAGGTTCATGAATGCATAAGATATTTATTTTCTTATGAATCATAATATTAACTAATTATATTAATTTACCTGTGAAAGTAACTATATTCCTATGTTCTATCATGATATTAGTTTCATGAACTAATTTTTTTGTCCGCATGATCCGTGCATAATGTCGAAACCATTTTTTATTTTGACACTACACATGGGCCTCGGTGTAGCGACCTTTGCATATTTTTCACTATATTCAGGTCCCGTTTGGGGCAGCTTATTGGTGCGGTTGTGTTTCGAAAATGCATCAGGTTTGTTTGGGTAAACCGCTTTTTGGTAACTTATGTATTTTGAAAACGTTGAAAACAACATTTTTACGGTGGCAACTTTCTGGCTACGGTCTGACTTTTCTAAAAAAATAAAAATTTGTAATAGCCACCGCACCTAGTTTATCAACAGATTTTTTTTAACCAGTTTATCAGCAAATTATTAAATAAGCTGCAGCTACCCCAAACAGACTCTCAGTCTACACATCACATCACTTTCAGGGGACACCCTAACAATTACACACTAATTTAAAAGATTCATGTCATGATTTTTCGAGAAAAATTTGCACATACTGTTGACTACCTAACATAACCTTTAACTTTTTTGCATTCGAGACTTGAGATCCGATAATAAAATTGTTATCAACGAATTTATTATGCGTGCTACAAAATTATTTATGGTGACTAAAATTTTCTAATGCTTATCTCAATTCAGTAAATATTCATAAACTTTAATTCCAGTTTTAAAAAATATATGAAAAAATAAAATATCTAAAAAAATATATATTTTACGGAAATAGAGTTCCAACTGATTTGAAGAATTCTAAGAACCTTCGAAAGCTGAGTAGAATTGTAAGAGGACAAGGAAAATAGATGGAAGAGCATAATCAATGTGCCCAATTAAATTTTTGAAGCAAAATAAATAATTTGAAAAATATAATTTGAAACATAGATGAAGTTTAGGAGGTGGACATTTGAATGCCAATTTAGTTTATTTAATCATAAAAAATATAATTATAGGGAAAGTCTTCTTTTCATGAGAATGAAAAAAAGTTACAACGATATATAAAATGTGATATGAATTCTATAAATTTACAAAAAAAAGTTTTATAATGTGGTATCGAAATTTAAAGATGATGATTATTATTATTATTATTGTTATTATTATTATTATTATTATTATTATCATTATTATTATTATTATTATTATTATAATAAGCTGTTTTTAGTAGTAATATAGAAAATTTTTGACATAGTTTTGAAAAAAATATTTGATACGGATACCGCATGCTTCAGAGATGTATGCGGTGTCCGATCTTCGCAAAGATGTATTTCGGTGGGCTTCACTTTCAAATTTTTTTTTTTTTAAATTTTGATTGCGTTGATCGACGATTGATCGACGGTGGAGATCGGACACCGCATGCATCTCTGCATGCGGTGTCCGTATGGAATAATTTCTCCATAATTTTTTACTAAAATTCTTTGAAAAAAATTAGAAAATATCCCAAATATATTTAGTTGGATATCAAAATACAAAATAGTCGTAAAAATATAAATCACCACCTTTCTTTCCCTGCATGAGTTGTTTATTCTAACCAAATTTAATTAATGTGCATGATAAGTAGAGTGGCATTTAAATATTTCCAAAAATTAGCTATTTAAGCAATTCAATTTTTTTTTTTAGTAGGATGCAGAGAGGAATTTTTTTGTTTGAAAAGAATATCGTATAAAAAATATTAAAGAGCAAAACTTTTGAATTCATGTTCGAACATGTTTTATACTTGTGGTCTTCTTTATCACTCTCGCTGTTTTTTTTTTAGTAGGATGCAGAGAGGAATTTTTTTTGTTTGAAAAGAATATCGTATAAAAAAAATTAAAGAGCAAAACTTTGAATTCATGTTCGAGCATGTTGTATACTTGTGGTCTTCTTTATCACTCTCGCTAGCGATTTATCAAATATGGTCAATAAGTACAAGGCCATGAAGAAAATCATGCACATAGACGCCACATTAAGTGTTAGAGGAAAAGAAGTATCTTAAGGTAGGGGTAAACTCAGGTAGGATTCAGGAGGGCAATTCCTCCCCCTCAAATTCAAGTTTTTAGTTATATGGAAGAGCAATTTAGTCTTCTTCTTCTCTGGAAATGTCAGTTTTTCCCTTCATTGCCCTGACCCCTCTTTAAGGCGGTGACTGGCTGCATCGTTAATTTCGTTAAGTAGGATTTATGAAATCCAGTAAATCCGGGGTCGTGAGAATCAAAACTATTAAATCCATATTTATATCGCAAAAGAGAGAAAACTCAAGTTATCGGTGCCCCTGGTTCACGGGCGACTTTCGGCCAACGAGGTAAATGTCGACGGAGAGGAACCTGAAGTTAGCAATGCGAGCAGTGTTAACTAGTTGAAAGTGGCGTATGAGGATCTGGAAAAGAAAGAGCAGGCCGGCTACGTCTACGATCGATGGCTAAAGTGTTCTCCGCCGCCGAAACAACGCGTTGGCTTGCTGCTCCAGCAACAAGACCTGCATGAGAGGCATATGCACAAGACATGTTCGAAATCGCAGGAAGATTTTAGGAACCTCAAGAGAATAGGAAAGGAAGTTGAGAGAGGTAGTGTTTTTTTTAACATATATTATATTATATTAAATATGTATCTTATATTATATAATTATATAATATTTATATTAGTATATTACTAATATAGTATATTAATATGGTATTATTATTAATTTATTATATATTATAATTTATTAAATTTAATTTTTTCAAATATCATAAATTATATATATATAATTAGTTTAAATTATTTAATATTTCGAACAATAATGATTCGAACACGAATGAACGTATTACTGTTCGTGTTTTGTTCGTTTAACTAGTCGAACGAAAAAAAAATTGTTCACATTCGTCTCGTTTACTTATCGAACGAATTGAACACAGATTCGACGAACCGAAGACGAACTATTCGCGAACAACGAGTTTTTTTTACAGCCCTATCGGTGGGCGACTTTGACGATTTTAAAAAAAATTATTTATTAAAGTATCGATTTAAAATAATAATTTTTTTTTTAAAAAAATCATTTTAAAAATTTAGCCTAATGAGACACCACCTAATTTCTATGTATTTATATATTCTTTTATGACTTTCTATTTAAAAAGTTGAAATAGTGATATTTTTAATCTAATATAAAAGATTTGTATGGTGCAATTGTGAAAATACCAAAAAAAATTAAGTTTAGGTGATATATAATACAGAAGAGTTAGATGGCATACATTTAAATTTATCAAAATTTTAGGAGAAGCTCTTTAAAAAATCTATTTCTATGAGAATATTTGCCGTTTTTTTTTTTTTTAAACTTTAATGACCTTATAAAATTATTTAAATTTAGTTTTAATAAATTAAAAAATTCATGTCCATCAATAAACAAGATAATTGTCTTAAAAGCTAATAAATCTTATTTAAAAATTTCAACAAATTTAATCTAAAGTTCATATATAAATCATAATCTCTTGACTAAATATAGATGTTTAATATATATATATATATTTATTTATTTATTTGTGATTTTTGGTTCATTGATATGTGTGCTTGATTTAATTCCTTTTCCACGCTTTCTATGTGGCGAAAGTATTATATTTTCCTTGTGTTGCTTTAGCTCCCATTGTGTCTTAAAATTTCATGAATCGGACGTTTGGTTCCTTATGTTGTCTTGCTTCTTCTTTAGGGGCATATATATTAATAATGTTTGAAATTGCCACGAACGTGCGATATTTCGGGTCACGAGGTGACAAGATAAAAGATATCGGATTTCAACTTTCGACTTTTGTCGTCACTGTATTTATCTCATTATCTGCTACTTTGCCCAGACCGCGAAGCAGAGCAAAGCAGCGCGGCGAGCTCCCATTGCCACCGACGTGGTGTCCTCTCTATCCTGCCAAAGCTAACCAGACCCTAATCTTTGTCTGGTTCCAAACTCACACCCCACTCTAATCGGAACCCTAATGAACCGATCAGGCCAGGGATCGGTGGGGGGGCGAGGAAGATGACGAGGAAGTGCTCGCATTGCAGCCACAACGGGCATAACTCTCGCACGTGTCCGAATCGCGGAGTGAAGCTCTTCGGCGTACGGCTTACGGATGGGTTCATTAGGAAGAGCGCGAGCATGGGAAATCTATCGCTGGCTTTTTGGTGGACCCAGCGGCGGGGGGCCCCCTGCCGATGGGCCGGAGGTCGCTGGAGCAGCGGCTGATGGGTACGCGTCGGAGGATTTTGTTCAGGGGTCATCTTCTAGCTGCCGTGAAAGAAAGAGAGGTTAGGTGAATGGTTTATGGTAGTCATTTTCTGGATTGTTTTTGGGTGATCGTCTTCTTTTGTGACAAAAAAAAAAAATCCCTTCGACTTTTAGGTATATGCTGATTTAATACTCTGTTTTTTATTAAATAAGTGGCAGATAGAGTTTGATGGAATTTTCTCTTTAAAGGCTCAATTTCTTTTGTTTGATAGAAAACTACATATGATTAAAAATAATAATAATAATAATAATAATAAAAACAGCTATATGAACTGTCTCAATTTCCCGATGGACTGATTAGAAAATGGCAACTTCTCTATCACTTTCGTGTATGATTACAATAAAAAACCTAGTAATTCAGTTTTCGTTTGACATTATATATCTTCCTTATTTGTCCTGTTTTACTTTAGTAGTTGAACGAAGCAGCTCAAGCATGCTGCCCTTTAAAGGGAACTAGTAACGAAGGGAAAATGCTTTAAATTTGGTTGGATTTTCAGAAGCCTTAACATTTCAAAAGAATAAATTAATTCTTTTTTGAATAAGAGGATTTCCATCTAAGGTGTTTGACTGACTAAAACTATTATATCCATTTTCATATTCATGTTTTTTATTGGAATGCTTATAGAAACCATCATAGGAAGTTGACTAGGACATTTCTATGCCAAGGGCTGACAAATCTGAATTGCAAAAACATGACCCTCATTAAAATGAAAAGCAAAACATTGTAGTTGAGCTGCAGCATTGGGGATTGATAGGTCTTAGGAATGCTTTTGATAGTTTTGATAATGTAGGAATGTTGAAACAGCTATAACAAAAGGAATTTTTACCTAGCAAGGCTTCAAGTGGTCTCTAATGGCTCCTTACTCATTAGTGAAGATAAGCAAAACATTGTAGTTGAGCTGCAGCATTGGGGAATTGATAGGTCTTAGGAATGCTTTTAATAGTTTTGATAATGTAGGAATGTCGAAACAGCTATAACAAAAGGAAGTTTTTACCTAGCAAGGCTTCAAGTGGTCTCTATTGGCTCCTTACTCATTAGTGAAGAGATGACTTCTCACCATTTCTAGACGGGTCACATTATTGTTGTCTGGGGTTTGCTAGAGCAAGAAATTGTTAATCTCGTTTAACAATCAAGTTTAACACATGATTAAATGGCTATTTATAGGAATGACATGACTTAGAATATTGCTTTGTAGCCTTATATTTATTGAATATTGACAAATGAGTTTCTTTCTCTAAATAAAGAAAGAAAAGTCAAAGCATTATTAGAACAATTCAGTGCTTAATCTGCTGCAATGTTTTAAAAGGGAAGGATGTATGGCAAGGTGTAATTTTGAAGGTTTGAGGGCAAGCACATAAATTTATTATTTTTAATCATTGATAAATAGGAAAATTTGATTAATATATCAATTATATGGGAAACATCAAAATAAATTGTAAAGACATTACACATAGTTTATATTCAAACTTCAATTGACACAATCATGTAAGTCAAACTAAATTAGACAGCAAAATGAGACAAGATAACTAATTATGCACTTCTTAAGTCCTTTAATTTCCAACCTTTCTCTAATCAAGATTCACAAATCAGATGTAAGTTCAGGTTTTGGGGCTTCAAATTTAATTTTGGGAACAATTTTCACCTCATCATAATTCTCATCTTCTACTATAATTATCACATGTTTTCCGTTAATTTTGTTGCTTATTTGAGGGATACAAATGGGCACATGATGTCTTGTATGCTTTTTGCTTTGTTGAAAAAGGGGAGCTTAATCATTTATGCAAAAATTAAAGCCAATGATATCATTAGTAATTTTTTAATTAAACAAATAAAAAGATTAATTATAACATACTATTGTGTAATTTTTAAATAATTTATGTTAACTTGCCTTTTGGGCTTTATGCCTTATCAATTGGGCATACAAGATGCGTGGCATGCGGCTCATGCACCCCAGAGTGGTCTCTTTACCTCTGGCATGATGCCTCCCCCAATTTTCTTGAGGTAATTTTGATTTTTTTTTCACCATAGGGGCTTCCCCAAAAATTTCCTTTTTATATATTGATTTACTTTTATAACTGGTGGGGCGGTAAATGGCCTGGTAAGCTCCATCAACTCCCTTGAGTCAAGAATTTTCATTTGGAGAGTTAAAATCTTAGTACTCTTGAAAACTTAAAAGGCAAATGAATTTGCCCTTAATGTGCCGTCCATGTATCATTTGATACTAGATGCTTTAGCCAACATATTGGATATTTTTGAATGCCATATGACCCACAAGAATTCTTATTTGTCACAATTTGATAGTAGGATGTACATAAACATACAAGTGGAAGCGACAATTTTGACCGAAGAAAAACCTAAAATATAATAGGTGTTTTGATTGCACCTTGATAAATCAAGAGATTTCTACAGTGGTTGGATTGATTTGAATGCATAAGAATTATGACTAAGGTTCTGTTTGGGATAATTTTTTGTCTATTTTATGTTTCAGACCTCCACCGCAATTTTGTTTGGGGAATAACTTTCTAGAAATTTTTGTAGTGGAAAACTGTTTTTTTCTAACCTACTTATTAAAGTGTTGTAGTTGTAAGAAAGCTACTGTATGGTTTTTTTTTTTTGAAAAAAAAATTTATAATTCTCATAGCGGTCTTTTGAGAAGTTATTTTCTCCACCACAACTTTACAACCTCTTTTCAAAAAGCTACAACCACCCCAGACAAACCCTATACTTTTTAATATGATTGTAAATCTCATCGGATTTGGTTGGTAGTTTATTATTGGTGTATTGTTTTTTTTTTCTTTTGAAGGGATTTGAATCCCCGTCATCTCTTTTGAAGGCTATGAATAATGCCACATGAGTTGTTAATCATTGGTGGTTTTATTAGTGGAGTGCAACAAGCAAGCAGAAAAAATCTGGACTGTCATATTATGCCATATTATAATACCAAGTATTTTGATGAACAATTATCAAATTTTCATCATTTATTTCTGAAGTATTTATATAGCCATCATGTAAGTTATGATTGTGATCAACAATGTATGCAACACAATATGATCCATGCTCATGTGATTGAATGAAGTCTAAAATTTGTTCTATATATAGATTGTAAATTTGTCTGTGCAATTCAGCATACTTGAGAAATTCTTATTATTATTATCTCATGGAATTGACTCAAATGCAAAATCAATGCTAGAATTACTGCCATATATATTTAGATTCTTGCTTTAGCTCCAATGTATGTTCAAGGTTGGATTGTGTTTCAAGCATGACTTCAATTTCATGTTCTTGTTTGTATATAGGTTTTTAATTACTAGGATTTCTTGGTGGATCAACATCATTTGAAATACTACAATTGATTTTTTTTTTCTATATCTTTTTAGCATGTGGAAAAAAGATCAAAATGGTTTGGAGATTTCTTATAGTTCCCTTGAGATTCTTACCAGTCAATTTTCATGTTCAAGTGGCAGATGGAAGACACTATCATCCTTGAGGATGTAGTTCATTTTATTCTATGTAGTATTTGTAGTTGATTATACCCTTTAATATCACTTTTTTGTCAACTAATATCAAATTTTTAAATCCATTGTTGATTAGACATTCAATGTTGATCAAAGAGATTTTCTAATTTATTTAACTATGTTACAGAAGCTATTTGTTCTTGTCTTCATTAAATGTATATATCATTATCAATATTTTTGGGAGCATTATGATTATCATGATTATCATAATACCTATATTGAAGAGTTGCTTCCTGAGATGCCATTTTTTTTAGAAGTAATTGTATTCATGATTTAGTTTAATAAATGCAAAGGTGAAACTATTAGGAAAATGAAACCAATAATAATTATTTTGACCAAAATTCTATGTTAGTTATAATTCATGCTTGCATACACAAATCATATTTGACCATCTATCAATTTAGTTCATGCAAGAGTTAAAGGAAAATTAGTAGATTGCACAATAATTTAAATGATTTTTGTCATAGTTTTTTAACAAAATATTTTACGTTTGCTGTCGCTACCTGACACAATCCTCAACTTTTTCGCATTCAAAACTTTGGATCTGATAATAGTAGTGTGTAAGGGTTATTAAACTGGCACTCGGGTAGATCTGATAATAGTAGTGTGTAAGGGTTATTAAACTAAAACCCGGGTGTAGTGTTAAATAAGCAAGTGTTCCTACATTATGGACAAATGTGAGCAAAGAAGTTAAATGTATGAAATTAATATTAGGATAAGAACGTAGAATAAAGACACTTGTACAGGTAAATTAATGGAATTGCATATTATAGTTCATAGGAAGATAAATATGTTATATATTTAAGTAACTAAATGAGTTGGAAAAAAAATTAAGGAGATTGATAACTTCGATTTTAAACGTTAGTATTCAGGTAGAAGTCATATTAGAAATGATGTATGTGTAATTATAAATAAGATTTTAAAAGATAATATTATAAAAATTAATAGAATTAAAAATATAATTATAAGTGTAAAGATTATCATATACAAAGTTTTTTAATGTGATAAGTACTTATGTTCTCCAAGTAGATTTAGACATATGTTCAAAAGAAAAATTTTGGATTGACTTAGAAGTATCAATATAATGAATACCTCTTGATGAAAGAATTTTTTTTTTGAGAATATTTAAATAAACAAGTTGGAAGAGTGGTTGAAAATTTTAGTAATATTCATGTGGCTATGATTTTGAAGTGATTAATAAAGAATGTAGAGTCATATTAGATTTTGCTTTAGCTTATAACTTTATTATTGTTAATATTTTATTTGAGAAAAGAGATGAGCATGTTATCACTTATAAGAATGAATTTAATAAAATAAAAATTGATTATTTTTTTATGAGAAAAATATATCATTAAGTTTGTAAAGGTTTTAAGGTCATTTCAAATAAAAATTTGAGTACTCAATAGCAATTACTAGTTTTGAATTACAAGATGAAGGATTTGAAGATGAAAAGTACAATAAAATATTATCATAAAATTAGATAGAGATACTTAAAAAACAAATA